GTAAAGTACCTGGTAAAGTAAAGTACCTAGTAAAGTAAAGTACCTAGTAAAGTACCTGATAAATTAAAGTACCTGGTAAAGTAAAGTACCTAGTAAAGTAAAGTACCTGGTAAAATACCTGATAAAGTAAAGAACCTGGTAAAGTAAAGTACCTAGTAAAGTAAAGTACCTGGTAAAGTACCTGGTAAAGTAAAGTACCTGGTCAAATAACTGGTAAAGTACCTGGTAAAGTTCCTAGTAAAGTAAAGTACCTGGTTAAGTAAAGTATCTGGTAAAGTACCTGGTAAAGTACCTGGTAAAGTACCTGGTAAAGTAAAGTACCTGGTCAAATAACTGGTAAAGTACCTGGTAAAGTTCCTAGTAAAGTAAAGTACCTGGTTAAGTAAAGTATCTGGTAAAGTACCTGGTAAAGTACCTGGTAAAGTACCTGGTAAAGTAAAGTACCTGATAAAGTACCTGGGAAAGTAAAGTACCTGATAAAGTAAAGTACCTGGTTAACTAAAGTATCTGGTAAAGTACCTGGTAAAGTAAAGTACCTGGTTAAGTTCCTGATAAAGTCCCTAGTAAAGTAACGTACCTGGTTAAGTAAAGTACCTGGTAAAGTACCTGGTAAACTAAAGTACCTAGTAAAGTTCCTGGTAAAGTAAAGTACCTGGTAAAGTACCTGGTAAAGTAAAGTACCTATTAAAGTACCTGGTTAAGTACTTCTCTCTATCTAAAAGAGAGTTTCTCAGATAATTATTGCATATCACCCTACTGTTCATCTCTAATATAAATATATATAAATATATACATTTATTTTCTATACATAAATAAAATATATATAATAAAAAAACTAGTGCTGGGGGTGTGGCCTATATGATGCATTTTAAAATATACTGTAACCATCACGTATATGACACTGAATTCTGAAATATATAGAGAGTAGAATTTAGATGAAATAACATGTTAAATACATAAGAATTGTTATATATTTGCAACATGTAAAAGCTTCGTCCACGTACCACGTCCTCATCGTACCAGGAGTCCATACACGTGCACACGGGCTTTACACCAGCGTCACACACACTCTCACACATATGCACATGTTCACACACAGTGAATGTTTGGCTGCAGTGAAATCACTAGAGCTGAAAAAGCAATGTGTCTGCAGTGACAGGTTCACTCAGGTGTTAGCTACGTCCCAAACACAGGCACACACACACAAAAAAAAAACAATATTACACTGTTCTACGCAAGCACACACACACACACACACAAACACACAAACAAACACACATTCTCACCCCCGAATTTTCTCCTCTTACCAAAAAACTTAAAGTGATGCATAAGTTTAAACCTCGCCGTCATCACTGATTTGTTTTAATGCAGGACGTCACTGCTGTTGATGGACTGGTGGTCTATGTGGGTCTGTGGTGGTCTACATGGGTCTGTGGTGTTCTATGTGGAGGTCTACATGGGTCTGTGTTGATCTTCATGGGTCTGTGGTGTTCTATGTGGAGGTCTACGTGGGTCTGTGTTGATCTACATGGGTCTGTGTTGTTTAACATTGGTCTGTGGTGGTCTTTGTGGGTCTGCGTTGATCTTCATGAGTCTGTGGTGTTCTATGTGGAGGTCTACGTGGGTCTGTGGTAGTCTTTGTGGGTCTGTGTTGATCTACCTGCATCTGTGGTGTTCTCTGTGGTGGTCTACATGGGTCTGTGTTGATCTACGTGCATCTGTGGTGTTCTCTGTGGAGGTCTACGTGGGTCTGTGTTGATCTACGTGCATCTGTGGTGTTCTCTGTGGAGGTCTACATGGGTCTGTGTTGATCTACCTGCATCTGTGGTGTTCTCTGTGGTGGTCTACGAGTGTCTGTGGTGGTCTACATGGGCCTGTGTTGATCTACATGGGTCTGTGGTGTTCTATGTGGAGGTCTACGTGGGTCTTTGTTGGTCTATGTGGGTCTTTGTTGATCAATGTGGTTCTGTGGTGGTCTACGCGGGTCTGTGGTGGTCTACATTGGTCTGCGTTGATCAATGTGGTACCGTGGTGGTCCCTGTGGTGTTCTAGGTGGGTCTGTGTTGATCTACGTGCATCTGTGGTGTTCTCTGTGGTGGTCTCTGTGGTGGTCTACATGGGCCTGTGTTGATCTACATGGGTCTGTGGTAGTCTTTGTGGGTCTGTGTTGATCTACATGGGTCTGTGTTGATCTACATGGGTCTGTGTTGATCAACATTGGTCTGTGGTGGTCTTTGTGGGTCTGTGTTGATCTACGTGCATCTGTGGTGTTCTCTGTGGAGGTCTACGTGGGTCTGTGTTGATCAACATGGGTCTGTGATGTTCTCCGTGGGCCTGTGTTGATCTACATGGGTCTGTGTTGATCAACATTGGTCTGTGGAGGTCTACATTGGTCTGCGTTGATCAATGTGGTACAGTGGTGGTCCCTGTGGTGTTCTAGGTGGGTCTGTGTTGATCAACGTGGTTCTGCGGTGGTCTATATGGGTCTGAGTTGATCAACG